CCAAAAAAAAAAAAAAAAAAGGTTTACCCCCCCCCCGGGGTTCCCAAATTTCCCCCAATCCCCCCTTTGGGGGTAGGCCGGAACTAAAGGGGGGGCCCCCCTCCCCAAAGGGAAAAAAGCCAAGGCCCCCAAGCCCCCGGGTTTTTAACCCCCCAAAAGACCACAAAGTTTTTTTCGGGGGCCCTTAAAAACCTGGGGGGCAACCCTTGTTTGGGGGACCCGGGGCCAAAAGGCCCCATTGGGGTTCCTTTAAACCCCCCCCCCCCCCCCCCCCCCCCCACTTCCATCCCAAAGGGAAGGCCCAAGCCCCTGGGAAGGGCGAGGACCAATGAGCCGCAAGGTACTTAAGTGGGGCACTACTCCACATGAGCCGAGAGCACTGCAATCGGTTTCCCTTTTGGGAGTGGGAGCTGCTCTTGAGCACTTCCTTGGGTGGCCCCTCCGGTACCACCCAAGTCCATGCTCACTCCCACCCAAGGCCCTTTGGCCTCAGTCTCAACATCAAATCAGTTTGGAAGCACCATTAGAGAGTTCCTTCAAGATTAGTTCCTAGATCTCACTATCCCTATTATACTTTTGGAACCTCCTGCAGCCCCACCCCCCCGGGAGACACACGCTTTGGGCTTTCACCCCTTGACCTGTATTAGTATTCGGACTCGGTCTCGGACTCGATCTCGGGCCTGACTTTGGACTCAGTCTCGAACTCGATCTTCGACCCGATCTCAGACCTAATCTCGGACCTAATCTCGGACATGATCTCGGACCTGATCTCGGACTCGATCTTGGACTTGATCTCAGACTCAATCTCGGATGCGATCTCGGATCTCGAACTCTGTCTCGAACTCGGCCTCGGACTCGATCCCGGACTCTATCTTGAACTTGGTCTCAGAGTCGGATCTTGACTCGATCTCAGACTTGGTCCCATCCGATGAACTCTTTGTCATTTTGGTCATCCTTTTGGGGATCCTTTATCCTATGACCCTCGGGGAATTAGTTCCTTACAACTCCACCACCCATAGAAGAAGTTCGATGCCCACATCGAACATTTCTTTTTATCCTACGACTTGTTGACCATGTCTCCAAGGGATCCCCCCACTTAGCAGTGTGCTTAAGTTAGCCTCCCCAGCCAAGAGCCCATAACAATGGAATATAAGTGTCCCTATACCCCTCACCTCACCACACCCTAGTATGGGGTCGGGATTTGAACCTAGCTTTGCTTTACTAGGGGGTTGGGACTCAAACCCAACCTCCGTAGAATATGCCTACGGATTCAACATCCCCGCGGGGAGTCGGGTGTAGTGCCCTATGCGTGGTCGACCTAGCTAACCTATGCTAATTAGCTTACCTTCAATGTGCCTTCGGGTCCCAACATATGCCATTGCTCAACTTCATAAATTGATACTTTAATTGAACTTTGCATAAGTACATAGAGTTCTGCCTTGCAGAAATTCCTCCACTAGATTTCATGTGTTCACTAGGTTCTCCTCCAGTTCCCATGTTACTTCGCAGTGTGGAAATCCTTTCCACTTCACATGGAACTCTCTCACCTCGCGTCCTTGTCACTTGCTCTTGTGCGCATTGAGGATGGCCTCGACTTCGTATTCCTCTTCCTCTTGGATAACCTCAGGTAAAGGTCTTACTTGGTCCTTGCGAAGCGGATCCTCAAAGTACGGCTCGAGTAAGTTCACGTGGAACATTGGGTGCATCTTCCCCATCTCTCGAGGAAGTCAGAGGTAGTAAGCCACTTTACCGATTCGTGCCTCAATCTCGTAAGGCCCCATGAACCTGCTGAAGGAACTCAAGATTAATTCATTTACAGGAATACATGCATTTTTACCTTTAGGTCAACTTCCGATTGATCCCACTTGGTAGCTTAAGGTTCTTAGTGTTCAGCCACACCTTCTCCCCAACTTGGAACTTTACATC